GTCATTTACTTTATTTGCTGAATTGCTAACTTCTCAATGTCTTTGTTTTGCATTTCAGAGATCCGAACTATTCATTTTCCCCATAGGAGCCATTTGCACTTGGGCCAGTTACACTCAGACACAGAAAAAGTAATCTGAAGGAACTGGACACAGAGCAGCTCTCAAGTTTCTGTCAACAAACACCTTTGTGAGCCTAGAACTCTGCAATATGTCAGTACTTCAACCTTCGACATCTAAGGAACGGTTGATTCTGACCCACTGCCTTTTCTTTTCTGGATTCTGGCATTGCAGTTTTTGTATAAACAAGCAGTTTTTTTCTGAGGGTATCTGCTTCATAGACTTCAAGAGTTGCCTTTTGTTTTTGCAGCAATTTGACTTCTCCAGTGTGGTAAGCAACTGCAGTCGCTCAGCTCTGGCATGGTCACGTTGTCCTTCATTTCATTCGTTTGGCACCTAGCCTGGGGTCCTGCACATCACAACAGTGGTTTTCCTGCTCACTGCCCCACAACAGCTCTGCCTCGTTTTCTGTCCTTCTCCCCATTCCACTCCTTGACTAAAGCAGAGATAAAACAACTAGAACAGTAGCCTGTCCTCTGGCCAGCTTCGCTCACAGCGAGTCATTTGTTCTGCCGCTTGGTCTCTGGAGCGCCTTCAAAGCAACCTCTGCACACACTTTCTTGCTCTTAACTGCGACACTTCCATGCCATATCCATAGTTCTGGAAAGCCTCGTAGAAGCAGTGCCTTTCCTAGGAAAAGTGCTTTCCTAGGAAAGCCTTTCCTAGGAAAAACAGAAAAGCTGGACGCACAAGTGAACTGGCAGAACTGGCATCAAGTGCCTGGCAGCACCTCACATGGCAAATAAAAGATTCATCCCTCTAACCTACTTTCTCCTTCTCCCACCTCTGACTTCTGCAGTTGTCTTGCACTCAAGCTTAAGACTAATATTTTCATTAATTTATATAAAGAGATGTAGAAATCTTCATAGATTCTTCATAGAGTCTTACCTGCTGGCTCAGGAACCGACACTTTTTTGTAAATACACAGTTCCTAACAAGAGTGTGTATTACAAGAATGGCTGCAGCAGAAGCATTTCAGCTTTTTACTTCCAAATTATCTGCTACCATAAAAATCAGATTTTTAGCATATGTTTACTTGTAGATACAAAATTCTACTATTACCTTACTTTTATATTTTTAAATGGTTTTTCCTTGTAGATACTAACATAAGTATGACTTCCACTGCGCAAGTATCTCATTTCATTTACACTTCAATAAAATTGCTTTTCATATCTTCATTTATATACATAAAAATAAATAGCAGAAATCAGATGCTTTTGCAATTAAAGCAGAAATAACATTTTTGAATATTGTATTTAACCCTTTATTGCTTTATTTCCAACTTAACATGTGTTTTTCAGGATCTAACAAAGTTTTTTGTGTGTGTGTGTGTGTATTATACAGATTTAAACATAATTCAGAACAGCTCCTAATGAGGTACTCAGGAAAAAATGTCTTCGGTTCCTTTCCTATATTGCTCCTCTTGTTATTAGGCCATATTTTTTTCAGATCAATCAAGTCAACAAGCTGTTAAAATATTTCTGGGGGGGAGAAAACTATAATCACTGTTCTTCTGTCATCCAAGAGAAACTACCAGTGCTTATGTATTCCATCTCCCAGGTTCTTACACTGTAGCAAAGGAAAAAAGCTAGTTGGATGCAGATAACTAGGGTCTGACACATTAACTGTGTGATGACGTATCTACCACAGATTCCAGTGGACTTTGCGATGTAGGTTTAGGGACACACAGGAGGGAAGGAAATACCCTTAAGCTTGAACACATTCCTGCGTGTCAAAAGCTGACAATGTAGATCTGCTCCGAGCGGTAGGTGCCTGGTCTCTTCAAATCTTGAGACTTAAAGTCTGACAGAGGCAGGCTTAGAACAGCAAAAACTTGAATCCTGTTTCCCTTCTGCCTCCCGAGCACCTGGAAGCGCAATAGC